TTTCCGTAGCGAAAACCTTAAATCTTAGTGCTTTGGAAGGTATAATCCATCAATTTTGAGGATCAAATTTTTATCACTTTAATGAAAGTATGACAGAACTACACACAGTTCACCTAGCCCAATTGTTTCATTGTAATGTGGCCACAATTTCTAACATTGTTATAGCATTCACTCATGTTTTGCGTGAAATTTTGTTTGACGACCTAATGACGTCGATTCCATCCCAGAAACAAAAAAACAAAATCTCTGCACCCTCCTCTTTCAGGCAATTTGAATCCTGTCTGCGCAGATATTGAGCTTGCTGCACCGGGATTGATGTGTCAGCAAAATGCAACCTTTTTGTCATACAGAGGAATGAATTCCTTTAAGGTAATAGTTGGTGTTGCACCAAATGGAGTCATTACTAATGTCAGTCGGCTGTATCCAGGTTCTATTTCAGACAAGCTCATTGTGCAACAGTCTGGACTCCTTAATCACTTGACAGCTGGAGATATGATTCTGGCGGACAAGGGTTTCCTTATCCAGGATGTTGTACCACATGGTGTCTGTGTCAATATTCCACCTTTTCTGAATAATGGAACTTTCACTGAGAGTGAGGTCAAGAAAACAAAAGCCATAGCTAAAGCACAGATTCTTGTCGAAAGAGCTAATGCTAGGCTGAAAGACTTCAAAATTTTAGGTGTCATTCCTTTGTATTTGCACTGCTATGCTGACATTTTGTTTCAGTTATGTGCAACACCTGTAAATTTGCAATTTCTTCTCATCAAAGAGGGATGCGAAGATATTGTTTTTGAGTAGTTTTATGCTTGAAGACTACATTGGACAGTTTTTTAATAATTATTGTTGTTCAAATAGAAATAAAATAATTTGTAGACTGAGGCTTACTTAGAAGAAAATACAGCTAGAGGGGTGGGGTGGAGCATTCTAACATAACAGTAAAGGGATGATTTTACCTCCTAGGGATTACAATATTTATCATCTGGTACAGCCTGGGTGTACATAGGGTGTCAAATTACATCACTGCGAGAATTCTTTTATCATGTTTAGGAGAACAGAAGTTAAAAAAAGTTTTGACATATGTTTTACAATGGATGTCTTTTTTGGGGATAAAAATAATAGCAAGTACTGCCCACAGTTACCCTTAAGAAGTCTTTCTGAACATTTCCCATGAGCATCCCATCATTTTATATGGGAATTTTCCTTCCCCAGGAAAACAACATTAAATGATGTACCATATTTCCATGTCTTTTAAATACCATGTTATCCTTGTGTTTATTAATAAAAATGCAAATATATGTATAGCCTGTTACCACAACTCCCTCACACCAAACTAGTAGTGGTAGGTCAATTTGAGGACTGAAAACCGACGAGTATCATTATCTTTTAAAACAAATCGTTCATTAAAAAGCCTTTTTTTATTTCACTACAAGAGAAAATCACGCCCTCGTGTTCATTTGGGCAACAAAAACAGTGTAAAACTTAATCTTGACATTTGGCATTCACCGTCACTTTATAAACCTTTTCTTTCATTCTTGCGTGTACTTGTCCTCGTAAAACACTCTGCTGGTAAGTAAATGCTTCAATGTGATCTGACGTAAGTGGTCTTCCCCCCTTTTTATACATTTCTTTTCTTCTGAGAAGAAAAAAAAAGCGAAGCGATGGATAATGTCTCCATTTTGAATCGAATAGGCGCTTGTTTGGAACTGAGATTTTTAGCACCATGGAAACGTGACGTCACCACTTAAGGACTCTATTTTTGATTATATAAGATATGAAATTACTTTTTTTATATATTTGAGCTTTTTTAGTGTTTATTTTCATATTAAACCAATAATGTGCTCTAGATTCAAAAGGTATGTGTTATTTTACTTCGACAAAACTTTTGTGTACATTGGTGTCACATTGGGCTTTCTGCCTCATAGCATATAATATAGAATGTTGGAATAAAGGATGCAGTATCGCTCAAAAGCAACATGATAACCTAATTACTTTGTATTGAATAAGAATAAGAGAGTATAAAGGCCATGTAAATAACATTGGAGTCAAAAATCTGCTCACAATGCCCAATGCCTGATAGTCAATTTACTACTGGAAGTGTAGACTGACTTGCTAACACTAGAATGAAATCTCTAGGTGATGGAAGGACAACATTTTGATGCTCACAATGTTCTCGACATCCTTGATTGTGACAATAGTGATGCTGGTGATTCAGATAGCAGCAGTGACAATGAATGTTGTTAACAGATACAGGTAAAAAGCTTTGTTGATTGTATTGGTTTTTGTACAAATGAAATTTAGATTTCCTATTAGCTTGGCTAACTGACACTGGAATAAACCAAAATAGAAATGCTATAATAGCAATAAAGAAGATTGATTGTTATAAAATTTCAAAATACAAATAAACTTGTCAGCAATTTTCAGTAAGGCTGATTATTCAAGAAGCCAATCATGCTAACCAGTACTTTTTTCATTTGAAAATATTTTTTTCTGTAGGGAGAATACTCTGGCAGCAGTGATGATGATGGTGAGTTTGAAAATGTGAGTAGGGAAATCTATGATAGTGATGACAATGATGATAACATGCCCCTAGCTTCAATGCGAACAAGTAAGCCGAGTTGGAGAAAAACTTCATTTGTTGTGTCGGAAACTAGTGTAACATTTACTGGTCCAAACGTTGAAGCCCCAGTGAACATGGAAACAAAAACTCCTCTTCAATATTTTAAGCAATTTGTTAGTGATGATATGCTTCAAAATTTGGTGACAAGCACCAATGAATACAGTGTCCAAAAGTCTGGAAACTCAATGGTGGAAAACTCAACTTCTACTCTTCCGATCATTGGATCACATACCTCTTTTCCTTACCTATCTCAACCACCAACATCCTAACATCTCCTTTACATCTGAACTAGAAAAAGACAACACGCTCCCCTTTCTTGACGTAAAAATAACTCGCTTAAACGGCAAGTTTTCCACCTCCGTGTATCGTAAACCCATGTTCACTGGTCTCTTCACCAATTTCCATAGTTTCATTCCCATTCAATACAAACGCTCCTTGATCTCCTCTTTACTTCACAGAATTTTCAACCTCTGCTCCAGCTATGAACACTTTCATATCGAACTAGAAGTTGTTAGAAAATTGTTCACCTTAAACAACTTCCCTTCATACATATTTGACAATCATGTTAACCGCTTCCTCAACAATACATTTGAACCCAAAGATCTTGTTCACACTGCTCCTAAGAAAATCATGTACTTCTGTCTCCCTTTCACTGGCCTACACTTTCTTCAGATTCGCACTCAAATCACTCGACTTTGCAATGCTGCCTTTCCTCATATCTACGTTCGCTTTGTTTTTCGTTCTTCAAGGCGTCTCTCCTCTTTTTTTCCTTTTAAGGATAGGGTTCCCAAACTCCTGAGATCTGGTGTTGTATACTCATTTAAGTGCTGATGCTGCTCTGCATCGTATGTGGGTCAGCCTTCCTTATGTCCACCACCATCTGCAGTTCTTTCTCATATAAGAAATACATCTCACTCTGCTGATTTTAATGATTTCTCAATTCTCTCTTCCTCCTCCGACAATTATGACCTTATGATTCATGAAAGCCTTCTTATATCCAAACTTAAACCCTCTCTTAACACCCAAGGCAACTCAATCCCCCTTCATCTTCTTTAATATACCGCCATTCTCACTTAATTCCGTCATCTAAACTTCCTACTCCCCTCACATGTAAATTAACACCCCGTAATATATACTTGTATTTAAAACCTCGTGTATATAAATTAACTCAATTAATCTGAAGATGTCTTAAGTTAAAGACGAAACGTTATTAATAAATCCTTATCTATTTTATTACTGTGATGGCTTTTTTAAAAGTCTTATGTTGGGCTATTATGTTCATATTGAAATTTCGCTTTCCGCCTGGCAAATCTCTGGCCATCTATAATGAATTCTATAATCTCATGACATGTCATTGACACGGTATGATTGCATGACTAGTAGAAATGTAAAATTATTGTGACAGACAAGCCCTTAGCAATTTAGTATTTTCACCAAAAATAGTTTTCAGTGAAAATTTTGATGATGGCATTTCTAAAGTTTTGCGAAATCTTATATATGACGCAAATGTGAAGATGTTAGCTAGTCACGTCACATGTATTATTAGACAGAGACTTTGAGCAGTGACTGTGGGGAGTGTGACAATCCCTATCTTTTGACGAAGATGTGAAAAATTTGATCAAGTGAAAAAGAGATTTATCCTATTGATAAGAGTTATCCACCTTTCGTACAGCCGGCCTCTGGTGGCTTGTGCAATTGATTACATTAATATATAAGATCGTATTTAAGTAAGAATTTATCATATGAAGCTCAGTTGATATAACTTGTGAATTTTGATTTGAGATCAATTAATCCTTTTATGTTATTGTACGTTAATCATCCATGATGAATTCTTGTGATGACGTTATAATCTCATGACATGGTATAAGATTATAGGACAGGAAGAAAGACATATACTGAAATAGAAAAAGCTCTTGTCATTTTCTGTTTACAATACCTTTAAATTTAGGACTTAGGAGTGTTAAAGTGTAAGAGCAACCTTTAAGATAATAGTTAAAACTCTTTTCCTTATTTTATAAATAAACACTTCAAGAAATACATGAAAAAATTTGTAAATAGATTTACCAAACGGTGACAGATGTCAATTTGCGCATCAGTGCAAGCTTTGATTACATCCATTTGCAATTGACCGTGCAGTGTGCATAGATGAAATGTTTGTTACAGTTTTAAAAATTTAAATTATTGATGGCTAAGGCGTACAAGTTAAGTAATGGAAGCTGTAGTTTATATGCAATAAATTAAGCGAACGTAGAACATGAACAATGTGATGGATTTTAGTAGAGGTAATAACGTCAAGTTTTGAAACTATAACAAACGTTTAATTTATGCACGCAGCACGGTCAATTGAAAACGTGCAATGCACGTGATAGTTAGTAAATGTTTGTTTTAACGTCAGACGAAAAAATAAGAAGTATATTTCTTGCCACAAAATTTATATACGCGCACTCCAAGTATATATACAGCTCAGTGTCATAAAGAAAAGTAAAAATCAATGGAAAAGATACCATTTAAAGAGGTATATAAATTACTCAATAAATTTCATAAAACCAATAACATATTTTAAGATATATATTTCCTTAATTTTTTTGTTGTATATGAAAATCTAAATAAATGAAAAAATATCCATTCCAACCAGTCAAGATATAGAAATTCGTAATCATGGAAAAGATTATACATTATTTTATTCACACATGTGTTGAATTCCATCGGACAGAACACGATTTGCCAAACCCAAAACACCCAGAACCAGAACGACAACAACTCCCGTCAAAACAACAAATTCCATTCAACCAAGGACAACAACGGTAATTTTCAAATTCGATCTCAAAACTATGAACTGGACAACACTTTGTACCATCCGGACACCATTGTTGCACTCCATGAATTTTTCCACAAATTACACGATTTACATTCTAGAAGAAATTTGAGTAATGATTTGAGTACATTATTTAAGTCATTTTTGATATAATGACATTTCTTACATTTATAAATATTTCTATTTAGAACTAAGAATACTCAAAAGAACATTTTACTCTTATTGATATTTCAATAATGAAAAACTGTGTGTTCGATAATAAAGTCTTCGTTTTTTCCAAATGTTTTGAGCACATTATTTAAGTCGTTTTACAATTATAATGCGTGGCATATTTTACATTTAAAAATAATACACTTTGAGATATTCTCAACTGTGATTGGTAGATTGCTGTGCGTTTTTTGGTAATTACCAATTTACCATATGAAAATGTATAATTGCTCTGTAAAGCTTTGAAAACATTCTTTAAAGAGAGGATTTAAAACTATCTCTCGTATGCATGTCTATGTGAACTTGTTCTAGAAATTACATAATTGCCTTTACTAATGATTTCTATTTTAAACTGAAAAATATTTTAGCTGTCTATATTTTTTCTTCTATTAACATTGTGATAATTAAAACTTGTTTGTTTGACATTAAAACTTATCTTTTCTTAAAATGTGTGTCCGAGAATATGGTTTAAAGGTTTGATTCACACACAAAGGTTTGATTCACCACAAAGTCCCCATCAGCAGTCCCACGATCGATATGCCTTTCACCTCGTACTTTATTACACTGACTGGTTAACGTCTTGATTTAGCATCTCTATTTTTGAATGACATGTTGTTTGTAGTAGAATATCAAACGTTTGGGCTCATCATTGTAAGAAAATCATTGTTGAAAAAAACAACGTTTGTATATGACGCTTTAGCGGAAACATTATTAGTAAATATCACAACTTTTACCGTTTTTGAACGGCCTGGGGCCCACAAAAGGTTTATCAGAACCCAAACGTTTGTCTACTTTTCATTAAATTTCTTATGATTTGTTTATGATTATATGACAGAAAAAATACGTAGCAAGTAAAATATAAAGGTTTAGCTCTCTGACGCTGATTATCAAAATGTGTTTACTTTTTATTATAAGTTGTGTTTGTGTTAGGAAACCAGAATTATTAAGCCAGTGCAGTGAAGTCAGTGCAACAAAGCCAAAAAGCAGAACATCAAATTCATAAATAATTTTTGTGATCGACTGAGAAAATTTCTCTTGCTCTATAGAATAATTTTGATTGCTTTCATGTGACTCACGTTGATTAATTCATGGTTATGGACTTTGCCCCACTCCTTATTATTAAATGTTTATGTTTGATAAATATTAAGACGACCAACCTCTTTGTACGTATTTTCCAATAATGATTTCGTCGGTCTTTCCTTCATTTGCTTGTATCGCTCCATTTTGACCAAATCAATAAAAACCAGTAAACACAACAGTATGTAAGCTCTTTTCATAGCTAAAACAAAATGATCAAATGTATTTCTTTTTTTACATATTACATTTTGTAGCAATAATGTTGAAATTACCTTTTCTTGTACTTCTTTTTGTAACAAGTAAAAATGCAACAAAATAAATTAGCAATAATTCTGTCTACTTATATCGACCTACTTTGAAGCTGTGGTGACTTGTGCAATGAAGTGTTTATTGTGAGATCGTATTTAAGTAAGAATTGATCACATGAAAATCAAACGATATTCGTGTGAATGTTGGTTTGAGATCAATTAATATTTTTATGTTTTTGTATCTTAGTCATCCATGATGATTTCTTGTGATGATGTTGTAATCTCATGATATGGTATGATTACATGACTCGAACAATGTCATATAGTAAAGTAAAACTAGCTCTTGTCCTTTTCTGAAGTTAATGTGATAATACCTGCAAATTTAGGAGTTTGGAAGTGTAAGAACAACCTTAGTTAAAGAAATTAGTTAAAAGTCTTCTGCTTATTCAATAAATAAAACACTTGGAAAAATACATATAAAATTTTGTAAATAGATTTACCACACCGTGTACTTGCGACAGAAACGCATGTCTTTTTCACATTATTGTTAATGAATAAAAGAAATAAAAGATGTTTTCGTGTTTGCACTGCCTTATGCAAACCTTGGAGAGGTTTGTGAGAACCTCGAGCACGTGCAACCCTTGACCTTTGGTCTCGGGCTTGCACTGATCATCTCTTATGTTCTCCCAAAGGTCTCCTCGGTTTGCATAATCCTGTGCAAACACAGTAAACATCTTTTATTTCTTAATTGAAACATTGAAAAGTTTTTTAACAACGTGCAATGCACGAGATAGTTTGTAAATGTTTGTTTTGACGTCAAACTCAAACTAAGATTCTACGGATAATAATGTAGCACAGTTCTCATGCTTTGGATCAAATTTTTAAAAGAATTACATAATATATAATATAAATATATTTATTTTTCAAGTGTTTTTATCAGAAATCACCCGTAACTTGTTTACTAAATGTATGGAATTAAAGTGCTTTTACATGCTTAAGCTGCGAAAATTGTCGGTGTTAAAAATAACCAGGAATTTTTTATTGTAGCTGTGTGCCGTCGTTTTTTTATATATTCACCCTTCCATGAGCGAAACTAGAACGTTTATTTGGGGGGGGGGTATATATTCATATGTTCACCTCTGCCCTGCTGATTTCTTTTGTTTGCGATGTTAATTTCAACAGAAGTCAGCAGGGCAGAGCTGAATATATGAATATTTACCCCCCGCCTCCAATTACGTTCTAGTTTTGCTCCTGACGCTATTAATATGTTATTTGAGAACTTAAATGTCGTTGTTAAGAAATTTTCGTAAAAACAAGAAAATTGATTTTATTTTCATGCCTTACTACAATACAACATATCTGCATGCACTTTATCATTTAAATAAAGCAAACATGTTGGAATATTTAGACAAAAAATACATTTAATTGAGTAATTGTATATCGTTTATGATTAAGTTGAAAACAGCAAAAACCATTCATTTTATTGTGAATTTGCATTCTGAAATGAATGACTGAAGTATATAACCTACGATGTTCACTTTTGATTTTATTTTAATATCTTGTGTTATGTTTACATACTACGAGTCTGTGGCTTAAAGCAAGATCAATCAATGGCTTAGTCATCCTACTAGTTATGGTATTGCATAATGTATTGTGAATTTCAGACGATTTTTCTTGTTTAAAAAATCACTTCTTTTAACACTCGCAGCGAGTGCACATAGAAAACGGACAAACCATGAGTCTGATTCTGATGGCCAGAATGAGTTGGGCTGTCAATTCTCAATTCTCATCGTCAAAATGTTGTCAAAATAAAGACGACCACAACATTAGTTATTCAGAATTTTAAAGTTTTGGTTTTTCTCGACCCAATCCTCCACCATTCACAGTTGCTCCGCATACTTTCTTATAGTCACGTGATTAAATGGAATGAAACATGGAAAGATGGCGGAATTCCAGTGGAATAGTAATTCATAGAGATGCCTTAGTAAGGTTTTATTTTCATTCCTTTTGAACTTTTAAATCATTCAGTCATGCAGAAGAACGTGAAAACAAAGAACGTGTTCCTATCTGGTGCTTTACAAAGAATTCTACTCGATAAAGAAACAAAAAAGTCTCATCATTCACAACTAAAGAAAGCTTGCGAAACGGCTTTAGGTATAAATCCATAAGTAATGATTGTAGTTATTGCTGATGTATTTGGATTCTATTTGCTCTATGTTTTATGCATTTTCAACCAGTTTCTGCATTTGCTATCAACAAAACATTAAGTGTAGTAATCCCTCATTCAGGATGTCAACGAACGCTGTCGATAGTATCTTTAAAATTGCTCAATGTATGATTTGTACTTTTTTATACGTGGCAAACAGTTATTTTTAGTGTCAATCGCTGGTTCATATTCTTCTTGAGTTATATGTTTATATGTTTATGGAGAAATCTATGTCAACGTGTGCAATGAATATAATGTACTGCTGTGTTCAGGAATGTTGCTTTACAAAATGATCGCTTTATGATTTTGATCTATTCTAGAGGAAATAAACGCTGTTCAAGGAAATGAAAAATCTACAGGGTAAGTTTAATTATGTAAAGTTGTCCAATTTTCTTTCCAATTTTCCAATTTTAACATGACCAAAATGAGTTATTAACCTTGAATCTTAATAAATTCACAGTTATATCCAGACTACGCATGCTCACAGATTTGCTAAGTTTTATTGTTCAAAAGTTAGATTTATAAACCAGAATGTTGGTTTGATTTATTTATAATAAAATCTTCAGGAATGTTTCTTCTGCAACTCTACCTCCACTACCTGGTCAGCAAACATTCATTACAGCAGATCAATATTTTCTTCCTTTTGAGTTGGCTTGTCAAACAAAATGTGCCAGGATTGTCACCATTGCACTTGACTGTATACAAGTAAGTTGTTTTTGTTTGATGTGTTAGGACACTTGGAGTCTTTAGTTGTAAGAAATAGATTTAATATTGTAAACTCTTTCATTGCATTGTTATTAAGTTATTGCAATTTGGTAGCACAAAATAAGTTCTATGTATTTTCTTTTGTTAGTTACCTCCTAAATTTCTCCTAGAAATTGTCAATATTGCTATCCTTATCTATCAACAGTACTCATCCCCAAGCCTCACAACTTCACATGTGTCTTTTCACCACCATTTTGTATTCCTTCACAAATCTAGGTCATGTATTTTGCTTCTATAAATTGGAGTATTTCAAACATTCTTTTTTCTTAGAAACTCATTGCTTATGGTCATATTGTTGGTGATACACCAGACTCCATTGAACCAGAGAGGTTTAAGAATTATCGAGACTATTTGTACTTGCTTTACCGTATAAATACTGATGTAAATGTTCAAATACAAATTATAAAGGTATTTATAAAAAGTAATGTCAAACTGTTAAAGTATTTAATTAGAGAAATGATATATCCTTGAGGAATTTAAAGAGGGTAATGACATATGTATCCCTATGTTTTTTACGTTTTTTGTACCATGAGTTTTTTAAATATCACATTGAATAATTGGATTCCAACAAGATTTAAAAAGTCTATGTGTTAACTGTGGACAGTTGAAAATGATCTTATTTTTATAATGTGTATATTTTTATTATCTATATTTACAGGCTCTTCTAACAGCTGTTACATCAAGTACTTGTGAAGTTCATGAAGGAACTTTACTTCAAGCAGTTAGAACAGTTTACAACATTTACCTTGCCAGTAAAAGTCTTATTAGTCAAACAACAGCAAAGGCAACACTGACGCAAATGATAAGTCTTGTGTTTCAGAGAATGGAAAGTCAAGCTGTAAGTTTTGTTTTGATGAACATAATATTTTTGTATCATATTGTACATCAATAGACATGTCAATGTTGATAATATTGTATCATATTGTACATCAATAGACATGTCAATGTTGATAATATTGTATCATATTGTACATCAATAGACATGTCAATGTTGATAATATTGTATCATTTTGTACATCAATAGACATGTCAATGTTGTTAATATTGCATCATATTGTACATCAATAGACATGTCAATGTTGATAATATTGTATCATATTGTACATCATTAGACATGTCAATGTTGATAATATTGTATCATATTGTACATCAATAGAGATGTCAATGTTGATAATATTGTATCATATTGTACATCAATAGACATGTCAATATTGATAATATTGCATCATTTTGTATATCAATAGACTGAAAATGGAAATGAAGAAAAGGATGATAGCGATAATTTTAAATCAGAAGAAATCAGCAAAAAGGAGGAGAAAACTGACATCAATCCTTTACCAAATGGTAAAATCCATCATGGCGACGATAAAATTGAAGATGTGAACGGTAAGGAAGCATTTCTACTTGTTTTTGGAAGTTTGACCCGCCCCCCTGAAATTTTTTGACAAGATAATCAACCCCCTGTGCAAAAAACTGTTTACGTATTTGTTTTGTTTTCAAAAACTCGCTTTACAGACGATATTGCTGACCAATCCTTATTTTTCAATATTCTTTGATGGCTTTCATTTACAGATAGCAAAGTCTCCGTTCCTTCCACGGAGGTTAAAGATAAGGATGTTATTGATACAGTTATCATGAATGAAGAATCAATGGTTGAAGAGAAGGGTGTAAAAGATGTTGTTGATGGTGTCAGTGATGCTGTGAACGATGAAACAAAACAAGATTTAGTCGAAACAACAGTTGACACTAATGTCTCGGAGTCTGTTGATAAAGAACAGCATTTAAATGACTCAGACGAGTTAAACAATGTTGCTGTAGATGACTTGCCTTCTAAGACTTCTGCACGTGGCAATGCAAAAGACAATATAGATGAAGAAAGTGAAGAATCAGCGAAGATTGCCAAAGATAAACATCTCGATATAAGTTCAAATGTTAATGACGAGTCCGTTAATGGCGATTCCCCAAGTGTGGGCCAGGTACAAGATGTTAGTGATCCATCTGAATCCAACGTAATCCCACCAAATAGCGTTGATGTTAATTCAGAAGCAAAGACAAATGACTCGACAACTAGCGAAGTTTCAGAGCCCAAGGAGGATGATGGGAATGAAACTGCACGAAGTTCCGTCTCCGAGTCTCAGTCTGATATGCCCAGCGAGACGTCAAGTGAAGGCAAGCCACCTCAACAAAGATTTTCTCATATCACCCAGAAGGATGCATTCTTAGTGTTTAGGTCATTGTGTAAATTATCGATGAAACCGCTTGCGGAAGGACCGTT